GGGGGAAATTTGGGATTTGGAAGTCCCTCTAATAGTAAAGACGAGAGCGCAGCCACCGGAGATGACAATTCTGCTACCGCACCTCAGGTTGAATTTTCTGGAATTCGTCCGAATTCCGAATCCGATTCCTGAAACGAAACACGTATAGGATCCGAATTCCGAAATAAACAAAATCCGAAACTAAACAAATTTGTAGCCGCTGCGCATGCCCAGCCCCCATCGTTCCAATAATAATCCCCCCGCACTGTGGCGGCTCTCCGCATCGGGGGGATGGGGTGGGGGGGAGAGCGTTTATAGTCCGGTCATCTCATCCTGTTTCCAGGTAACATGATTCTCGGGATCTCAGGCCGGCCGCGTATTGGGCGAGCGGAGGACGGGGGCGAGCGGAGGACGGGGGCGAGCGGAGGACGGGGGCGAGCGGAGGACGGGGGCGAGCGCTAACATTCCTCAGCCTGCTCACTGAAGATTGAAGTGGAAATAATACAGAAGAACAATCCTTCCTGCGGCCCGCGGCTCCGTGTGCAACGCTCTGCGGCCAGCAGTCGGCTACGGTTAGCCGTGATTGATCAGCCATGTCTCCACTTACAACCTAATGAAGAAGATGTTTCCTTTCCTGCGGCTCCGATATCTCGCGGACGAGTCCCGGGCGCCGGATTCATATTCATGGGACTTAAAGGAGCCTTCGGAGGAGCCATGTCTCTGCTGGATTTTTGGGGTCTTTTCGCGGAACGTTCGCGGACTATCCGCTGCGTTTACCGGCAAACTCGTCAGGCCCGGTTCACACCTGGGCGTGTTGTAGCGCGTTCCTGCGCTCTGCAAAACGCTCAAACACCGAAATCCCATTGTTTCCTATGGGCGCGGTTCACAGCCGGGTGTATTACAGGCCGTATGAACGCGCCACAAAACGCCCCCCCGCGCCCAAAGTACAGGAGCTTCTTTGGGGCATTTTTGTTGCGCGTTTCCATTGGGATACAGCCAGGTAGCCCTCGGAAACGCGCGTTTGTTGCGCTTTTTTTTTTTACCACGAATTGCTGTAAAATGTGCGTCACGAAACGTGCGACAAACATGCATATGCGATACGCCTGGGTGTGAACCCGGCCTAACAGAACCAATCTGCCCCACGAGACTTCTCTCAGCGGAATCTTCAGCTTTGGCTGCCCAATCGCGTCGTCACTTTCTGACAATTGTAGCGATGAAAGAAGCCGAGGGAACATTCCAGATTAGACGCGCGCCATGCGGACGACATTTCTGATGTATCCGAATTACAGATTTAATGAATTCAAACTAATCCCAATTTCCGATTAGTTAGCGGGAGTCTGGAGGAAATTTCGGTGCAGCAAAGTGACATTTGAGGAAAAAAAACACCTTTTTTTTCCTCTTAAATGTCACTTTGCCGCAACGAAACAGAAACGGAAATCCGTCCAGATTACCGCTAAGTGACTTTCGGACCCGAGATTCCGAAATAAAGCAAAATCCGAAAGCAAACACATTTTTTGCTGCTGCTCATGTCTGCTGCTCACGTCTGCTGCTCATGTCCAGTGCGCATGTCCGGTGCCCATGTCTGCTGCTCATGTCTGGTACGCATGTCCGGTGCCCATGTCTGCTGCTCATGTCTGGTACGCATGTCCGGTGCTCATGTCCAGTGCGCATGTCCGGTGCTCATGTCCAGTGCGCATGTCCGGTGCTCATGTCCGGTGCCTATGTCCGGTGCTCATGTCCGGTGTGCATGTCCGGTGCTCACGTCCGGTGCGCATGTCCGGTGCTCACGTCTGCTGCTCATGTCCGCTGCTCATGTCCGCTGCTCATGTCCGGTGCTCATGTCTGGTACGTATGTCCGGTGCTCATGTCTGGTGCGTATGTCCGGTGCTCATGTCTGGTGCGTATGTCCGGTGCTCATGTCCGGTGCGCATGTCTGCTGCTCACGTCTGCTGCTCATGTCCGGTGCTCATGTCCGGTGCACATGTCCGGTGCTCATGTCCGGTGCTCATGTCCGGTGTGCATGTCCGGTGCTCATGTCCACTGCGCATGTCCGCTGCTCACGTCTGCTGCGCACGTCTGGTGCTCACGTCTGCTGCTCATGTCCGGGGCTCATGTCCGCTGCTCACGTCTGGTGCGTATGTCCGGTGCTCATGTCCGGTGCGCATGTCTGGTGCTCATGTCCGGTGCGCATGTCTGGTGCTCATGTCTGGTGCTCATGTCTGGTGCGCATGTCCGGTGCTCATGTCTGGTGCGTATGTCTGGTACGTATGTCTGGTACGTATGTCTGGTGCTCATGTCCGGTGCTCATGTCTGGTGCTCATGTCCGGTGCGCATGTCCGGTGCTCATGTCTGGTGCGCATGTCCGGTGCTCATGTCTGGTGCGTATGTCCGGTGCTCATGTCCGGTGCGCATGCCCGGTGCTCATGTCTGCTGCCCACGTCCGGTGCGCATGTCCGCTGCCCACGTCTGCTGCTCATGTCCGCTGCTCATGTCTGGTGCGTATGTCCGGTGCTCATGTCTGCTGGGCACGTCTGCTGCTCATGTCCGGTGCTCATGTCTGCTGCGCATGTCCGGTGCTCATGTCCGGTGCTCATGTCTGGTACGTATGTCTGGTGCTCATGTCTGCTGCTCATGTCTGGTGCGCACGTCCGGTGCTCATGTCTGCTGCTCATGTCTGGTGCTCATGTCCGCTGCTCATATCTGGTACGTATGTCCGCTGCTCATGTCTGGTGCGCATGTCCGCTGCTCATGTCTGGTACGTATGTCTGGTGCGCATGTCTGGTACGCATGTCTGGTACGTATGTCTGGTGCTCATGTCTGGTGCGCATGTCCGGTGCTCATGTCCGGTGCGCATGTCCGCTGCTCATGTCTGGTACGTATGTCTGGTGCTCATGTCTGGTACGTATGTCTGGTGCTCATGTCTGGTACGTATGTCTGGTGCTCATGTC